GAGGCTGTCATTGTCGGCATCTACATGAATATTAAAGTCGCCTACTATGATTATTTTATCTGTACTAAGCACTAAATCAGACAAAGTCTGAGAATTCACTTAAAAACTCTGAATAAGGAGCAGGTGGATGGTATACAATAACAAACAGAACAGGCTTTTGAGTTTTCCAGTTTGGGTGTGAGAGACTCAGGGTGAGACTTTCAAATGAGTTATAACTATGTTTAGGTCTAGGGTTGATTAATAGGCTTGAGTCAAAGATCGCTGCCACGCCACCACCTCGGCCTGTGTTTCGAGGGATGTGACAGTTACTGTGACTAGGTGGAGTGGATTCATTTAGGCTGGCATATTCTTCCTGCTGTAACCATGTTTCAGTAAGACACAATAATGATGTTCACTTATCAAATCATTCACTAACAGAGATTTAGATGAGAGAGATCTGATATTTAATAGTCCACATTTGATTGTCCTATTACTTTCTACTATAAGAGGAGTCATCTTAATTTTAATTAGGTTCTAATTAGGCAGAAATAGTGAGTTTAATTCCTAAACAATCTGGAAGCAAGCACAACACAATGCAGGTACAGAAAACAGGAAATGAGTATGGTTTACCGCAGGAAACAGCAGACCGTTAAAGGTCCAATCAAGGTCCGATAAAATATGGACCAGTATATTCAGTTCAATTCAGTTTTATTTGTGTAGCGACAGTTACAATAACAGTCATCTCTGGGAATTTTACATAGTAAGGTCTAGACCTTACAGTATTACAGGGAAAACCCACCAAATCCCAGTTGAGCAGCACTTGGTGACAGTGGGGAGGAAAACTCCCTTTAGCGGAAGAAACCTCTGACATACCCCGGCTCTTGGTGGGCGGCCTTCTGCTTCGACCAGTTGGGGTGAGTGGATGGAGGGGAGAGAAAAGAAGAAAAGCAACAAGACAAAACAAACAAAAACAAAAACAAACAAACACTGGGCAGGTTGATGTGGTCGGTGACTGCTCATCAGAAACAAAGAGCTCTGGAGCCAGGGCAACCTGCAGAAGGGTATAGGGAGAGAGGACACAAAGTGTAATGTGGCATATAAAAATAAGATGTGGAGGAGATCAGAGCAGCATAAGAGGACCGTAGCCTAGGCCTATAACTAAGGGATGGTACACCAAACCAAACTTAACTTAGAATGCACATTCAATAATTGCATAGACTCCACTACATGGGCTCAAATGAAGGCCATACTGTTCACTAAAAACCAGGCTACAGGACAGCCCACAACCCCAGTCTGCAATAAAGGGGAACTAGAAGAACTTGAAGTGGCTGCTAGAGGCTGCAAAACTGGAAGGTCAGAATGTTTCTTCAGCTGCATACTAGTTGTAGTAGCATCAGTCTCACTCACTTACACTGCACAGTCCCCAAGGACTAATACTAAAGCACTTAAGACGTGTAAGGAGATTTTGTCACACTGTCTCAGGTGTGTGTTACTGAAACAGTCTATTTCCTAACACACTGAAGGAAGATGGAACAGTGTTGAATCATCTCATATGAGGTGAACAGATGATTTTTCCATTGGGTTGGTCCAGGTTCGACCTGTCTAGGTGAGGCACATCACTAATGGCTTCTCTTTAAAATAAAACCAACATCCATCGATGCATGAAAATATCAAAGAATCTCGCCAGTTATTTGCTTTTTGCATGTTTGGTTTCTTCATATCATCCGGTATCTGCTTCCCGTTAAATGAACTAGACTGACTGTTTAGTGACAGTGTCCATAGTGAAGATAGTATGTCACTCACCGATAACGTACGTTAATTTCCAGATCCAAAAATCGGCATTTCAGCAACAGATGCTCCGGTTCAGTGTCTGCATGGCTTGACCTCAGACACATATGCTGCAGGTGCATCTTATTTAGTGGGGCTTTGTATTAGTTCCAGATTGTACTCAATATTACTGGCATATCTGGGTTACATCTAGATGTTTCATGTTTAATCAATACATACACATTTCACAAGCTTCAGCTTATTGTTTATCTGCTCAGTCTGTACTGTTCAGGCTCCCTCTCATTGCTCTCACAAGCTGTTTTCAGCCGGCAGAGCAAGATATTCCCCTCTGGATTTGGTAGAGGCCAAAGAGCTCAAAGAGAGTGAGGATTAGACATTTATCAGCTGGACCCAAACATCACTCCAAATTAACGATGATTTTGCAACATAACAGCTGGATTTGTAAATAAACAACAAGTTCACCACATCAACTTAAAAGATGATGTTCACAGCCACTTCCCCCTAACCCCAAGTGGCCAAGAAATCACTTATTGCAGATCCTCAGTCACTGGAGCTAAAGTCTGCAGTGTGATGAGAAGATTACTGTAAAAAGCAGCCAAACATGAAGCCTCAGGTCTTCCTGCTTTCCTAGAAAGTTACTTACCAGAATTCGTAGAACTGTCTCCTTCTCTCTGCTGTTCTCTATTCCCTTCTTCTGTGTATAGATTAAACATGGAGACATCCAGAATGTCTGCCTCATTTAAAATCTCTGCACGCATACAGTCGCTCACATGACGCCTGATGAGAGTGATTTTGACCTGCACCTGCGTATGTTCACACCTGGTTATAAATAGAAACCATTCTCTGCCTTCCAGTGAAAGTGTGCATGTATATCAATCAGTGAGTGTGAGGGTGGGGGGGGCAGCAGAGACCCTCAGCAGTATAACAGAGTATGGTTCCTCTGTGTAAAGACGGATAAAGAGAACAGTAGAGACTAAACAGAGAGGAAGGAGATTCTTAAAATAGCAGGGGGAGATTGAGCCGCGGATTACACGTGTTCAGACTCTGGCGTCCGTGTCTTGCCCTCCTCATCGATGATTGGACGCTCTGTTGTGAAATCACGACCCACTCTCCACCCACTCCTGAACTTCATCCCTGAGTTCAGCTGACTTGAGCGTTTGTCGTGTTAATGTATGCTGATACTGTAAAAACACATGGTGCGTGTGTGTGTGTGTGTGTGTGTGCTGATATGAGGGATGGAGAAGTGGTGGAGGGTGAGAACTAGAGAAAGAGGTGGTATTTTTAGCAGATTTATTTTTTTCCCGGGTGCAGTCTGTTCTCTGCAGCTTCAGAGGCTTGAAGAACATGTTCCTCTTTTTTTTCTCCTCCTCTACTTTCTTCTTCATCCTCCTGCATCTGTTGGTCTCAGGAACATTAGGAACAGTAACAATAATCTGACCTAATCTGACCATCTGCAGTCTCTCCTTCTTTGTCCTTGTCTGTCATTCTAAATGTTTTCTTCCCATTTTTAAAAGCTTAAAAGGTCAAGATGAGCACTTAAAATGACCAGAATAATGTTTATATAAATAATATACAATATAAAGTATACATATATTCTATTTAGTCTTTAAAATACTTATAAAAGAAGAAAGAGAAGAAGAAATTGTACCACAATCGTTAGTATTAAGAATAAGTGTTCGGTCTCTGTGTACTGAGTTTGGCATGCTATTTCTGAAGCCTAAAAAGTATGACGAGTTCATCTCACTCTCCTCCACCCACCTCCTCTTCCTGGACCGTACAAAGGCCCCTTCTGCTTCAGATTTATAAATATCATCTAATTTTATTTTGGATAATTCTGTGATCTTCAAAAAAGACAGCCTGGGTGGGACTAATTTCTGGAGTCACAATTCCTCCACAACCTTTCTGGTTTATTAAGCAGTTCTGCCACCGTGTATTTAACTGGCTAAAGTTTTCACAATTCCTAGTTATCCCAGTTTAACCTCATAATGGTAAGTGTGAAATGTTTCAAATGTTGTAACTGCAGTTTTTCAATGGAAGTGTGCACAGTTCCATAACTAGCTTTTTTTTATTATTTGACCTTGATCAATTATTGTACAAATGTATCTACAATCTTATTTAACTTATAAGAAGTCACTTTAACTGTCACTTCAACTTCTTTCAGTGCTTCAACATCAGCTTACTCTTTCTAAATGTACTTTTCTTCCTCTCTTTCACATAATTAGGTAATTAACTTGATTTCATTTTTTTTTATTCCCTTCCCCTCCCCCCTTTTTCCTTAATATATACTGTAGACCAGACTGCATAGAGCTGAATACACTGACATTACACACCCTCATACACACAAACCAAATGTAAAACCCACTTCTTCTCTTTTGTAAATGTCTGTGTTGTCTTGTCTTATATGCTATGTCCTGTAAACGAAACTATTCATTGTGTTGCAATGAAACAAATAAACTAATTTTGTCCAACCTTTGAGGATCCACTTTAATCTCTTTCTGTGCCTTAACAATAGCTACAACTTCAGCTAGAGCTGCCACTTCTGTACACCGTCACCTTTTTTACTTCTAGCTTCACAATAACGAAACACCGTACAGTACGAATTCATTTTGTGCTTCCCCTTCAGTTTGTAGTATGTAGAAGTAGAACCACAACTAAGACATCACAACTGTTCCAACTGTGTGCACGCTTTAATTTTTTTTTTATTCGTAGTCTTATTCATTAAGTGAGACGTAGATGGATTCCCGCCATGGTTAAATTGTTATTTATTTTTATGTCACATTTGTTTATATCACCATCTGCAGTTTATCTTTTCCTCTGCTCTGTCTTTGCTGTCTGCTCGTCCTCTGCGTATCTGTGTCAAATCTGAATCCTCTGTATGTGTGTGTTTATGTCGGTCATTCAGCTGGTCCAGAGTACGTCTGTTTCCTCGATGATCACTCTCCACTGCTGTTATGCCTCATCGACTCTCCTTGTCAGCATGTCTCTGTCTGGTGTGTGTGTGTGTGTGTGTGTGTGTGTGTGTGTGTGTGTGTGTGCGTGTCCTGGACAGATGGATGATGTATTATGTAAAACAAAGTAATCCCAGTAATGGCCTGTTTAGCTGTACCCCTCTCCGACCATCACACACAGATATACAATAACACAGTTCCACTCACATACACGCCTACTCACACACACACACACAGACAAAGTCCCTAGATAACCTTTCTGTATTTGAACTCTGGAGAGGCTCAGCAGTAACTACATCTATAACGCACCCAGGAGAACCATTGAGGGAG